TATTTTAACACAAATAATTCCAAGAGTTTAGTTTTTCTGGATTACGCTTTTCTTTCCTCCTCCCAAGTCAAACCCGACAACCTCACAAACATCCTGTGATCAATTTCTCTTTTCATTTTATCCACTCGAGGAGACCACAATCCACCATGTGTATAATGTAAACTGCTGATGAGAGCCACGCTGGCCCCACCAAGCCATAGGGTGACACTGTTTACACGACTTCAACACAAAGGAGATGACAGAAATCCTGACGTCACCTTTAATGCCAGCAGCTAATCATTCTGCGGCCGAGCAGAAACTCACAGATCAGTGGTGTCAGCTCGACTTCAGGCCACAGAATCCAATGAGAAATGGACGTGTGCCAGTTCATACTCCACATTATAAATGAGTTTCTGATAGTTGTTTGGCACATCTCAGCATCTTAGACTTGATTTAAATGAAAAATAATCACGAGAATCTTCGACTTCCTTCACAAAGCAGGATTAGTTCTCTGTAATGCAAAGTGAACCTGAAGAAAAAAGGCGTAAATTTTCAGTTTCAAACCAACTGGATGCGGAACAAGGTTGGTTTAAGATCTTTAAAGTGTTGCAGGTTTGTTAGTGTTAACCTGTACACTCGTAAAAGTAGTCCTGAGTCAACGCCAGTCAAACATGAGAAAAACATGAAATATTAGAGCCAATGTGTCACATTTAATCAGTTAAACCTTCATACCGTCTGTTATTCTGACCTAAAGTCAGTCATACTTTTAAATAATAACAGATCATTGCACTTAAAGGACCTGTGACATCAAATTTCTGTCATAAATTCAAAAGCATTTTTGGAAAGAGAACACTGAAGGCATATTGCAAAACAAAATTCATGCTGCTGAGATGAACAGTTGTTGAGATATTTGCATGTAAAGCAACAGGAAATGATGTCAGAGGAGAATGTCTGCATGTGAACAGAGCGTTGCTTTATTAACTGACAGCACAGGCTGTAGAGAAGAATCTGGTGTTTCTTTAGATTTATTAGAGTCACTATCAGACAGATGAAGAGTCGGACTTCAGATAATACTGTTTCAATAAAAAAAAGGAGTTCCTTTACTTAGAGTTCCCCTTTGATGTCACTTCCTGTTTCACTTTGAAGACAAGTTGCAAAGAAAATATGCAGTTGTATGACGAAATAGGTAAAATCAAGTGTATTATGTCGTTTCTTAAATATAAATGTTTTATTTGACTTATGGAGTTTAAACTAAAGTTAAACTCTGGAAGACTAATAGCCTCACCTGCTCCTGCCGGCCTCCACGCCTCAAGCGCAGCCACGTCCAGTCAGCTCCTGACTGCCGGATAAAAGCCCGTCATCTCAATCGCCTCGTCTGCATGCCACTGACTGTCAACCTATCACCTCCCCTTATCTTCTGGTATCCAAGGGCGTCCCTCTATTTTAACTTCCACCACCAGTGTAGGGCCGTGTGTGTGTG